CTTCTCACTGATTACTCCTGGATCCATTCAGTTAACTCTTACTTTGCATCAGGAGACAATTTCCTGCTTTTAAAGTCAGGACGGTCTTCCTGTTGAGTGCTTCTCTTCCTCATTGTTACAGAGCTGAGACTCGGCTCAGGTTCATGTTCAGGAGAGTCATGTCTGAGGAGTGAGGAAAGGAATCAGGAAAGGTTGTATATCTACCATTTTTTACTCTCCAGGAGAAACATATATTGGAAAAACTTTTCAGGGTTAAAATGAATCAACAAAAGAAAGAGCAGATGATGAAGTTACTGCATGTAGTTTGAAATCATTTCTGTATTTGTTCTTTTAGCAGTGAAGATAATACAAGGTTTAGAGTTTTTACCTTTCCATGTTTGTAACCTGCAGTCACCTGATGGAAGAGAAAAGTGAGAATAAAACACAGATTATAATTTGGCTTTATTTCTGTTTATTGAGTGACGCATCAGAATCAGTGAGCTGTCGCTTTCAGCCCTGACGGCGTGTCCATTTACGGCCGTCGAGTGAGAAAGCCGAGAAAGAGAAAGCCAATTCTGATGCGTCGGGTCCGCGCTCTGTGTTCACGTCTTTGTGTGGAATCCGTTTACCTGCTCTCACCTGCTATCACTTTATTCAAGCTACTCACCTCCCTCTATCCACCTGCACTTTCAAACGTACACGCGAAGGACTACAGGAATTTCTGACCACAGCCAATCAGAGAGGTCCTGCTCCTGACTATCTCAGATTGGTTTAGACCACAATATGGGCATAATGTGTGTTTGTTGTTGATCACACGGAGACTTTCAGAGTTGTGGAGACCTGCGACATAGGATTTTTTTTTGTGGCACCATTGAAAAATTTAGTTGCATTTGCGACCCAATTGGTTGCAGTCTAGAGCCCTGCTACCAGAAATGACCCAACCAACCCGAATCAAATATGATAAACTACACAGAGAGCTCATCAACCAGAGGCATTAACAGTCATGTCAGCCATGATGAGCTTAAATAACAAATGTCTGAAAATAAAACAGAACAAAAAACAAAACAAAACAAATTAATGGTTCATGTCTCACTTTTACTCCTTCCAACAGAGTCTGTTCTGCCTGCAGTGGGAAACCTTCAGCCTCCTCGGTCCAGAAAAGAGGTTCTCAAACTTTTTGTGGTCACGAGTCTCTTTCAGAAGGTCAACATTATCCCATATAATCAACCTCAGCTTCACATGATGATGTGTACTAACAGAAATATTTAACATTGTTCACAAGA